TAAACAATTCAGGTCATTTGGACTTCTAGAACTCCAGATATGGGCCAAACACTGAATAATGCTTGGGGTGTAGGATAGATTCAGACTTCTTTGTTGTTGCGACAATTTGGACTTGAAAATGACCTTTTTAAATCTCGGACTCCATGAAAGTTATAGGCCTATGTCTTACCTTTTCATCCATATAAAGTAGACCTAAATCCAAGATCTATAGCTCTAGATATGATTCAATTACCGAACAGTGTTATGGTATGGACTACACCAACATTTCTTTTCTAAGTTTGGCCATCTCTTTATCCTTTCAATTTCAATTCTTAAACTCATCAATCAATCCTTTTATTTATATGATAGACCTGCATTTAAAATGAACATTTACCACAAATTAAAGGTATCTTATATTATTAGATATGTTATTATAAAATATGCTTTAGTTAATGAGTTATTAATACTTCAAGTGCAAAATGGTGATGTAAAACCTTAATAAAAATATATTTTTATGTATTAATCACCATATTTTCAACTTCAGAATCTTAAACAATAAAATATTTAGTTCCAAGTGGCCTGTCATCTTTAGGATTACTTGAATAACACATCAATATTTTTATCGTTACAAGATTAACACTTGGATCAACATCAACATATAGACATAACTCTTTTTTACCTTTATGCAACCTTAATACCTTTAAAGTTGAATCGTCATCATATATTTTTATTACTTGACCTTTTTCGATCATCCGAATCCATATTTTTGGACCTAAAAAACTAATTTCATTTTGTTTTTACCCAAAAATAATTCTAAAACACCATTTAATCCTTAAAAACGACTTAAAAATCATTCTAAAAAAATGAAAAACAACTTAATCAAAATAAACAAAACAAAACTCAATTACTTTCCCCGTCATGTTTAGAGAAAAAATCACTTTTATTGAGTTCCTCTTGAGAAGAGAAACTCGTTAATTCAAAGATCCTCTTTTTTGATGGCTTTAATGTGGTCACCCCAAGCTTTTTCTCTCATTTGCTATTTCTAGCTAGTTTGTTTCTTTTCTCTTAAACTTAAGGATTGAAAAATAAACAAAATGAACCTATGGATAAAAATGAAAATTCTAAAAACTTTGATATTGGTCATGATTTTCTCCATGTTTTACAATGTGGTCCTCTCACTTTAAATTTTGTCTTTCTACTATATAATTTGAAATTTTATCTCATATAATTAGGCAATAAAAAAGTCAAATAAAAAAATTTAGTGAAATTAAAAAAAAAGGATGAAAAAAAGTGGTGATACTTCACTATTTACATGAACAATGAAATGATTGAAGAAAAACTCTTGTTCTTTTAATGTATTTGTTATATAGTCATTTTATCAACATTTTGTCACGGGTAGTAGAGTTTAACCAATTTTTTTAATGCAGAAAATAAATGTACAAGTGTTGTCAATGTATTTTTTGACATCAAGAAAAAAATTTAATTTTAAATCACAAAGTTTATGCATATATTTAATAAAATAAATCAAGAATTATATATACCGATAAATATTAAAAAGAATTGTTAATGCTATATTATGGGTAGGATCTCAAGAATGTGCCAATGTCGTGGATGCATGTGTTTTATTATATATGCTTTTTTTTATTATTATTATTACTTGAGAAACATAAAAATGTTGTTTGTACATGATAAATAAATTTCAAAATATATGAATCAATAAATTGAGAAAGAGGTTTTAGTGCCAATTAAATACTAAAATGAAAAGCTAATCTTTTCTATAAGAGCAAAAGACAAGTATAGAAATATTTAACCCCAAAATTTTCTTTTATTTTTTATGTTTTTTTAAAACTAGAACAAAATTTTTTTTATTTCTATAAATGGATCATGAAAATACAATTTATTGATTAAGAATATAAAAGGAAAGTAATTAAAAATAAATTACAATAATCTCTTTGAAACATTATAAAAATAAATAATAATTTAAAAAGGTGAACTAATCAATTAAAGAAATTAGCAAGTTATGGAATTAATTTAAATGTGAATAAAAAAATTAATACAAAATAAAAAAATATATATAAAAGAGTATTAATTAAAATAAAAAATAATAATTAAAATTTAAAAAAATACAAAAGAGGCTAAGTGTCACTATCAAGCCAGGCCTACGAACATAGTTAGTTACCCAAGAGCTAGGCAAGCTTGAATTTGTTTTTATGAATCAAATGATATATTATTTGCCCATCTTTTTCCTTTTTTATTTTTATTGTACAATAGGTTATTTAATGTGGAAAATGATATGTTATCGTATTAAATTTTTTTTGGTCACAATTGATAACCAAAAAGTTAGACTTAAAGTTTTGGACCTCAAAAACTCATTTTAAGATATATTTTTATATGAAAACATTTAAAAACACTGTTAAAATATCAATAAATCATTTTTTCAACTCAAAACACTTTTAAATTGGTCCAAAAATATAAAATTAAACCATTTTTTCTCAATTATAATTTGTTTTTGGCAAATGAAGAGTTCAAAACATCTAAATAGTACTCCGTCTCTTACTCCTCTTTCAAATGTTAGGACCAAAATGTGATGAAAACAAAGTTTGGGAACAAACATTAATGTGTAAATATAAAGGGGCCAAAAATGTATTTAGCAAAATATTCCAAGAAAAAAATTGTTAAAAGAAAAAAAATCATTGCATTGTTGTCCTTGAATGTAATTTTTTCCAAGCAATAAAAACAATTTTATTTTACAAAATCGAGGATCAACATAATATTAAAATGTTATTTTAATATTTATTGGTTTTATAAAAATTAAATCAAAATAAATCATTAAATATAATTTTTAATTAATATAATAAAAAATAATCAAATTAAAACAAAATTGTTTGGTGATCAAATTGATCACATTGTAAAAGAACATTAAAAAGAAAAAAAAAAGCTCAAGTAATTTGAGTCTGGGTGTGCAATGCTTTAACAATATTTTCTCCATTCCATTTAGGTAATTTGAATATCTCTAGTACTTAATCAATAAAGGAATGGAGAGACGAGAAAACCACTCCCCATGAGAATAGAGTAAAAGAGAAGAAAAAACGAGTATCCCACCATTACAAGGAATAGAGGAATAGAAGGAGAAGCATGAGACACTCTTACTTACACAGGAACATTGCTTAAATCAATAGTTGAGGGGCTTAATTGAAAGTTTCATCATAATTGAGGACCTATTTAGATTTACAATCAATAGTGAGGGTGGGAAATCGAGTTTACCTTTAAACCCTAGATACTCTCCAAAATTTCAAAAGCTAAATCCCTCCAAAAGGCCAATCCCCTCCCCCTTCTGTGTGTGAATCAACCGCCAACCATGTATAGGGTTGCTTCAAGATTAGCTTCATCAATTGGGTATTGATTTCTTTCGTCACGTAACTTCTTGATATATAAAATATGTGTGAATGGAGCAGCTAATAATTCTCTACTGTGCTTCTTTTGTTTTCTATCTTTTCACAGCTCCTCTGCTTCAAAGAAGCAGGTACTACCACCGGCCTCTTCCTCTTTCTTCAATGGCATATCAATTATTTATTTATTAATACGCAATAAATGATCGAGAAATTCTATTTGTATGTGAAAAATGAACCTGGGTTAACTAATCCATCCCTTTCAGCCAAATGTTCTTCACTGTGAGCAAATGGAGGTCATGTTTAGTTTGATTACTTCAAAATTGAGTCTTTTTGGATCGGTCCATTCCTATGAAGTACACTTTGATTTGAGTGGTTTGGCTGTTCTATGTGATTCTTGCTTGAGGTTGTTCATCCGGGCATTTATTCATCTTGACAAGTTCATTGGTTAATGCTGTGAATTGGGTAGTTATCCAGTAGGATCACATACAGTAGAAGTTATGTGGCTAAGGATATCAATTTAGGAGCTGGGGCTCGTGCAGCTATGCTACAGGATGTCAATGAGGTTGCAGAAGCCGTGAAAGTCACAATGGGACCAAAGGTATTGAAGTTACACCATCACTTTTTTTCTTATCTATTCTTTTTCAAGTTCTGTGGATTAGTTTGAGGGTGAGAAACAATGAGCGCCATTACCATTTCTGGCCCGAACTGAATTTCTGTTTTTATTTATTTTTGCAAAATAAGGTATCCAGTGCTTGTTTTGAAATTTGAAAATTGGCTTTCTCTATTGTATCCATGGCTTTATCATTATTATTATTATTATCAATTCAATTAAGAAAATTAAATAAAACTGTGTTAGGTTGAGCTCCTGAAGTGATGATAAAAACACTCAATATATTGGTCACCTATAAAGAGAGAATAGAATTTGCTGGAATGAATTGTATTATTAATCATATCACATATTTATACAAGTGCATTTACAATCATTTTTATATGTTAGGAATCAATTACTACCTTACCGTTTATTATCCTATAGACTTAGTTTTATAGTAGGAAAGCCAATATATATAGATTATCCATGCCTAATATATAGCTTATAAGATTCCTAACACTCCCCCTCAAGTTAGAAAGTGAATATTTTGCACTCCTTAACTTGTGAATCATAGGAACGAAGGTTTCTTTCCCCAGGGACTTGATAAAAATATCTACCAATTGATGTTTAGAGTTTATATGTCTGGTTATCACATTACCATCTTGGATCTTGTTTCTAATATAATGGCAATCCATCTCAATATATCTAGTGCACTCATGAAAGACTGGGTTAGCTGCAACATGCAACGCAACCTTGTTATCACAATATAGCAAAGCAAGTTCATAATGCAAAAGCCCAAATCCCTTAAAAGGCATCGGAGCCATGTCAACTCAGAACACGCTCTTGTCATTGCACGATGCTCTGTCTCTATAAAGGAGAGTGAAATTGTTTTTTGTCGTTTTGATCTCCAAGATATCAATGAAGTTCTAAGGAACATGCAGCACCCTGTGGTAGATCTCCTAGTTAATGGGCAGTCTGCCCAATCTGAGTTAGAATAAGCTCTCAACTTGAAATCAGTGTTCAAGGAGAAGAACATGCCTTAACCAGGTACACCTTTCAGGTATCGGACAACCCAAAGGGCTGTTTCCATGTGAAGCTTTCAGGGTTGGTGCATAAATTTGCTCAAAACATGCATAACATAAGTGATTTTTGGTCTTGAAATAGTCAAATAAATCAATCTACCAACCAATCTTCTAAAACGACTTGGATCTTTGAGCAAATTGCTATTGTTTGATAATGTTAACCCACGTTCCATAAGGGTATCGACAGGGGTTGCACCCAACAATCTTGTATCCTCAATAATTTCCAATGCATACTTACATCAAGAAATGAAAATTTTGTTCTTAGAGGCTAAAAATTCTATACCAAGGAAGTATTTTAAGGGGCCAAGATCTTTGAGGTGAAAATAACTGTGCATAAATTTTTTAGTCATAGCAATATTGATGAGATCATTTCTAGTAATCAAAATATCATCAACTTATATTAAAAGGGTAGTGAAGGACTTATCTCGTTGTCTGGTGAATAGGGAGTGGTCGGCTTGAGATTGTTTGAATCTAGCAGAGTAGATGGCTTCAAAGAACTTAGTGAACCATTGGAGTGATGCTTGTTTCAGCCCGTATAGGGACTTATGGAGATGGCACACCAAGTATTCCTCCCCTTGTCAACGAAGCTCTAGTAGCGGAGACATAAAAATCTCCTTTGAAAGATCACAATGAAGAAAGACATCATGGACATCTAATTGATGGAGTGCCCACCCGTGAGCTGTCACCAAAGCAAGCAAGCAACGAACGGATACAATCTTGGTAGTTAGGGAGAAGGTGTCCTGATAGTCAATGCCTTGTTGGTTGAAACCTTTAGCAATCAGACGGGTTTTGTATCTCTCCACATTGCCATCAAACTGGTGCTTGACCTTGTAGATCCATTGATAGCCAATCAAAGTTTTGCTTGTTGGTAGTGAAGTGAGAGACCAAGTGCCATTGTGCTGAAGAGCTTGTAATTTAGAATGCATAGTTGCCTACCACTCGAGAAGGGCAGTGACTTCTGAATAAGATCCAGGTTCGATGATATAGCCGATTTGAGCAACAAAGGAGCGATGTGGAGGTTCATATTTGTCGTAGGAAACATAAGCGGCTAGTGGATAGCTGGTGCCTTTGGGAGAATTTGGAAGTGAGGAAGATGATTAGACAGTGTAGACATTGAAGCAGACATAGTCACGGATTTTGGCCGATAGGCTAGTGTGGCTGTTGGATCAATAAGGCGGAGTAAATATGGATGTGAAGGGTGGGCTAGTGTCGAATGAGAGGGTGGGTGGTTCAATAAGGTTTGATTCTAGAGAGAGAGAAATGGATAGTGCATCGGAGCGATAAATCGAGAGAGAACTATTGATCGTGCCATGATGGTCAGTGGGCTTAGGGTGGCGTGTGTATGTGCAAAGAATAGGGGGGGTAGGGAGATTGTGTGTCTGACGAAGGATTTTGGGTAGATAGTGATGATGATTTTGGTAAAGGGGATGATGGAAAGAGAAAGGAAGGAGTGTGATCAAGGGTAATTAGAGGAATGGGATCGGGATCATAATATGGAGAAGAAAGAATGGGTTTGGCTTGTGCATAAGGAAAAGTATTTTCATGAAATCGCACATCATGGCTAGTGAAAATTTTTTTTTTGATAAATCAAATAATTTATATGCTTTTTGATCGGTAGGATAATTGACAAAAATATAAGGAATGAAACGAGGAGCAAATTTATGAGGAGTGTGGACACTGGTAGCATAAGCTAAGCAACCAAAGACACATATATGAGAAAAAAAAGGTTGTTTTGAATAGAGAAGTTCAAAAGGGGTTTTGAAAGGGAGGACATGAAAAAATAGTTGTGATGCAGGACAATAAATAATAAGAATTAAAGCAAGAAAATAAAGAAGCTTTTAGAGAAATAAGAAAGCTAAAGAAAAGAAAAAAAAAAGGATTGGAGATATACAAAGTCTGCAATATTTTCATTAATCATCAAAATTGTCTAACATTTAGAAAAGTAGAATATAAATACTAAAACCCTAACTGGGCTTGCCCATTAAATAAAGTACCCAATAATAATGAAATTAAACCCAACAAATAAAACCAAATTTATAAAACTCAACTAAAATTTCATATAAATTAAATTAAAACATAAGCTAAAGCCCAATCTCTCAATAGTTTAGACTATCTTCTATCGTCTATGATTATATGCGTGTAAACAGTGTTTTAGGTTCGGTATCCCCATTAAGTCGATTGATGATGTGAATAGCAGTAAGGGCACCTTCACCCTAGAATTAGATTGGGAGTTGAGCTTGAAATCTCAAAGCACGAGTTACTTGTAAGATTTGATGATACTTGCGCTCCACAACCCCATTTTGTTGAGGCGTGTTAACCTAAGAATGTTGGAAAAGAGCTCCTTTATCTTGAGGAAAGGGTGAAGTGAGAGAAATTTTCATCTGTTATCACTTTGAAAAATTTTAATGTGAACTTCAAATTGAATGAGAACGTAATTGAAGAAGTGTTTTAGAAGTGATTGTGCCTTACTTTTATGTCGTATTAAGAAAATTCATATGAAACGTGTAAAATCATCAATGATAGTGAGAAAAATGAGCACCAAAAAGGGAAGGGTGTCAATAGGGACACTAAATGTCACAATAAATCATTGCAAAAGGTTTTGCAAAAGAAATTACTCTAGAATTGAAAGGTAAACAATTTTGTTTTGTCAAAGGGCATATTAGCCAAGTAGTATTGGATTGAATGAAAAAAAAATTAAAAAACAAAAAAGGTGATGTATGACCCAAATGATTATGCTAGTGGTCAGTGGAGGAGATGGTAAGATGACAGGTTGGTTGAGTGGTAGTTGAGGAAGGGTTGGTCATCTTTTGCTTTGTTGTCAGAGCCATCAAATAATAAAATTTGTTATGTTGTTTACCCAAACCAAATAGCCAGATCCTGTAAAAGACACCAATAAGAAAAGAAAATTATTGAACAATTAAGGTCTCTTGTCAAGCGACTAATAGCTATCAAATTTACTTTGAATGTAGGTGCACATAGCACATTATGTAAATAATAGATAGAATTAATAGTAAAGAGCCCTTTGCAACAATGTGAGCCTTTTCTCCACTATGCAGTAGTACTGGAGTTAATGAGCATTTGTTATGCTTGCCAGAAAATAATTTAAAAGAAATATGATCTGTCATTACGCTATCAATGATCCAACGGGAAGCGACTTTAGACAAACCTGGTTTAGTTAAAACATTTGCATAAGAGTTGGGTCCTTTGCTTTTATTGTCTAAAAGTGATAGGAGCTATTTTAATTGTTTTTGTAAATCCTAATAATTGGTTTTCCATCTTCTGGAGAGACTTCTTTGGACACATGATTGGCTATGTGTTTGTTGTTGTTGCTGAAACGTTTTGAGCCTGATTCATACCTTGCATTTGGATGACCTGTTGGGTACCTATACAGTTCATAATAAGTTTGTACCCAATGACTTGCTTCTCCATAGTGCGAACAATAAGGGCATCCTCTACCAAAGCTAAAGTGCCATCTTTCATATTGAAATTGTCATCCTCCTTTGAGATTTTTTGTTGGTTTTTCCTGCAATCTGAAATCATGTGACCCATGTGAGTGGTTGATTCGCTCAACTCTCCCTGATCCTGCACTGAAATTTCAAGTTGTTCTACTATTGTTGCTTCAAACTGCCATGGAATCACTGCCACTAAAATCATCACTTGTTGTATGCGTTGAGCTTACAAGACGCTGTTTTTCTTCTTGTGAGTTGGAGGAATATGCTTGACGAACTAAAAAAAGGGGATTCATTAGGAAGATTTATCCGCGAATGGAACTGTAAGAATCATTTAATCCCATAAAAAATTGCATTAATTTTTGTTGATCTTATTGTGTTCCATGTATCGTGTCATTATAAAAGGCTGGTTCATCCCACAAACCTTTCAATTTCAGGTAGAGACTAAGAGTTGTTCTTGCCGGAGGCAAACAGTGTCTTGTTTAATTTCAAAGATGCAAGGTATATTGCTTTAGGAGAATCGTTCATGCAGATCTTCCCAAACTTTATGTGTGGTTGAGTAATAGATCATTGTTTGAGATTTCTGGACTAAAAGTGTTAATAATCTAAGAATGAACCATATCATTGCACGGAGACCAAGCTGCATAATCTTTATGATTAATTTCTTACGAGGGAGCTTTGATTGAGCCATTGACAAAGCCTAGTTTATTCTTGGAATTTAAGACTAGAGTCATTGCTCTTTTCCAAATAGAATAATTGTCTTCATTTAAGGGTTTTAAAGTCATAACTAATCCTGGATGATCTAAATGGTGAGTGAAATTGAGACTTGAGAGATTTGCTTTTAAAGAATCTATAGAAGTCTCTGTGTTTTTTTGGTGTTCTAAGAACAAAAAGAAAGATGCTAGGGATTGTGGATTTAGGATCTCAGTCTAGGCTCTTATACCATGCAAACTTTAAAGAGAGAATATAATTTGCTGGAATGAATTGTATTATTAATCACATCACATATTTATATAAGTGCATTTAGAGTCATAGAATCAATTACTAATCCTATGAACTTAGTTTTATAGTAGGAAAGCCAATGTATACAGATTATCCATTCCTAATATATAGCTTACGGGATTCCTAAAATCACCCTTCTATATAAGTGATCTCAACTCCTTTCCTTGATCAATTCAGGGCCGCCATGTTATTATTGAAAAAAGTCGGGGGCTTCTAAAGGTGACCAAGGATGGAGTCACTATTGCTAAAAGCATCAAGTTCAAGGAGAAGGTGAAGAATGTTGGTGCAGACCTTGTGAAGCAGGTCGCAAATGCTACTAATACTGCCACAGGGGATGGTGATCTCTTAACTTCATGTCACAAAAGCACCATGATTATTATGAATTTCTTCATATAATTTGAATTGAGATTAAAAGTTGGATAGATTTGTATTGTTTTAGTGCCTCAAAACTACTTTTTCGTTTTGAAAATCAAACAATCAATAAGGAAAAGTAAAGAAAAGAAGTAATACTTGGTGGTTTGTCAGTACATAACTAAACAAGCAACATTATAAATAACACTGGATACAGAACATTAGATCTTTATGTTAAGTTTCTACTTGATCAATCTTCAGCTCTATCTAATAAGTTCCCATTTAGGGGTTGAGGGTGTTTGTTATGTATCATGTTGTAGGTACAACTTGTGCAACTGTCCTTACTCAGGCTATACTCATCGAAGGCTGCAAGTCTGTATCTGCTGGTGTGAATGTGATGGATTTGCGTAATGGCATCAATATTGCGGTTCATGCTGTCCTTTCAGACTTGAAAAGGAGAGCATTGATGATAAGCACACCAGAAGAAATTACTCAGGTACACAACATCTTATGGAGGTTGTTCTTGTCCTTATATTATGTTTGGGGGGAAGCTTTGATCTATTCCAGGATCTAATTGTAATAAATCTGATTTGCAATAAGGATTTAGCTAACATCTAGTAAAAAGAAAGGCATTATGGTTTTCTAACCGTTGAAAGTTACCTCTCTAGTTGTTGGGAAAACTAGGAACAACCGGACACCAATTTACCCGGATCAATTCAGCGGAATACAATTCACAAATCACAAGTCCCAATTCTTTCCCTCTTTGTGCAGTAAAACAGAATCAAACAATGATAAAAAATAATGCAAATAATTATAAAATCAACACCAAGATTTTTAACATGGAAAACCCGATGTGGAAAAAACCACGAGACCGTAGTCCACCTAAAAACTTCCACTATCAACAAATAATAGGTTCACAATTGTTCTTCCTCATATTCAACTAAGGAATACAACATATGTATCATCAAGAACAACTTATTCTCGGATTACAACAAGATTAAAGGAGAATTATTTGAGAAAAACTCACAATACTGACAGCCCTGTTTTCTATCAAAACGGCTAGCTTCCACATCATCAATTTTCGATCCAACCGTCCAGAATGAAGAGTAACGTGTCTAGAAGCTGCTGTCAAAATCTCAGCCCGATCCAACGGTGAACGAGCTAGAAATCGAAGAAAGAGCATAGGCTGCTCTGCTGCCTCTTTTCTTTCTTTCTCTCTCGGTTTTCTTCTCCTCTCTTCTGTTTTTCAAATCTGCATCTACAGTGCCTAAACCATTTAATTTTACTACCAAGAGACATAAATTAATGTGGTGGTCCCATCATCATATGGTGCGGGATTACACACAACAAATCTCCCCCTCGCGCACCATGTGAGGAATTCGCCATACTAGCGATCAACATGTAAAATTCAATTTAGGAGGCTCTGACAAGCCTGCTTCCTTTTTGCAGAACTCAAACTTCTCTCTCGGTAGAGGTTTGGTCATCATGTCTGACACGTTGTTATTAGTATGAACCTTCTCAACAACGAATGACTTCATCTCCATAGCATCTCACATCCATTGATATATAATCTCAATGTGCTTTGATTAGTACTTAAAAGTGCATTGTTATTAGTATGAACCTTCTCAACAACGAATGACTTTATCTCCATAGCATCTCACATCCATTGATATATAATCTCAATGTGCTTTGATTAGTACTTAAAAGTGCATT